ACCAGTCCAGCTGCAGTGGGACGAGAGCTGCTTAAAGTTGGAGATGGGGTTGACTCCGAAGAAGTCCTGGTAGGCCTCTTTGTCGGGCAGGTCAAACTTGCTGACGTTGGTCTTGGCCAGAATGGACTTGAAGATGTAATATTTGTCAGGGTCGTTGACGATGTCTTGCAGCACCTCGTAGGGATCACCAAACCAGCCCAGTTTCTCGTAGTAGGTCTGGAGATAGCGGTCCACCAGCAGGGCGTGGATCCGCACGCGGATGGCGTGCTGGCGTATGAACGCGATTTTGTTCTCAATCTGATTCTCAATAACCTGTAAAGAAGGAGGAGGCGGTAAAGACGGGGAAGCAAATGGAACGAATGGATCATAGCACAACAAAAATCCAAAAGCTGGATACCTGACAGAAGAGGTCAAATGAATAGGCCTTCGGACTCTAAACACCTTCAATGTTCGTTATGCTCCCATGCACAAAAGGAGAAAAATAAAATCTGACATAAAATCTAATTGTCTGGAATGCAACATGAGAGTACCCTCGAATTAAACCAAGTTGGATAAATATACTTATTTGCTTGTTAGTTTGTTAGGACAAACTAACAAGTTCAATCTTGGTGAAATGCACACACACATTAGTCCATAGACATTAAATACTTCAATTACTTTTTCAAAAATGTTTTTTTTATTTGGGTAATGTAGCCCCTGAAGTCATCTTGTGTGGAGCAATAAAGTCAGAGCCTAACAAAATCTTGTTCAAATACTGAATCTTTCAAACTTCCAAACAAACAATGGATGGACCTACTTGGTTGAGGTCCTCTAGCAGGGAGATTTCCTCCCTCATGAAGAGCTCCCGGCTGGTGTCTGCCGCGTAGTCCTGCGGCCAGAAGGAGCTGACGTACACCCGGGGGGGCTCGGTGACGTTGACCAGCGGTGCCATGCTCCAGAACAGGGCTCCGTAGACCCTCATCAGGTCCTGCGTGGTCAGGCTGTCGGCCTTGTTGAGGATGAGGCGGATCTGGGACTCGCGGCCCTTCATCTGCCGGAAGAGCATCTCCAGCTCGCCTCCCACGTCCAGCTTGGTGGGATCGAACACCAGGAAGATCAGGTCTGCCCGGTCAATGAACCACTGGCACACCTCGCTGTAAGGGTAACCTGAGGGGGAAAGAGGATTTATGTAGTCCAGGGTGGGTATTCCAGTCCCTCGCAAAGCCACGCAAAGATGAACAACCACACACACACTAACCCTCTCACCTCTTTCCTGCTGTTTGCGGTTTTCAATTACACCGGGGGTGTCCACGAAAGTGACCCTCTCCAGCAGCTTGTGAGGCATCTCAATGCCGACCAGCCGCTCCAGGAAGCCTTGGCCAAACTTCTCCAGGGGGGAGAAGGACCGGGAACTGTCCGCCGCCATGACGATGCCCTCTATGGTTCGAAACTTCTCGCCGTGCATGATGACCGTGTACTCAGAGGTGGTGGGCTCAGCACCTGGTGAAGGGATAGAGAGGGAAGGTTGCTCTGGATCCACGCGAGGTCACGTTTGTGTCACGCTGAGATGTTAACAGTGGGGGTTTTTGTTGGTGCGGACCTGTGTAGAGTTCCTTGGAGGTGCCGTGGAGACCCAGGAGGTAGTTGATCATGGAGGACTTGCCAACACTCCACGGCCCCAGAAATAAAACCATGGGCTTGGAGGTGACCTCACCATCTGAGGGTAAATAGAGAAGAGATGACTGAGAGTAAAATATAGTAAAATATAATAGTATAATACTGGACCAACTTTCAAAATGTTATATAGGAAGCCAAGCACTTTTCCGTCTTCATTCACCTTTGTGTGAAGATGTAACTAAACAGAATATTAAGAGTCTTCTCTATTAGGATTTTCTTTTTTTCTCTCTCTTTTTTAAAAAACAGTTCCTTCTTCACAGATATAGTCCCACTTAAATGTTTTAATTCAGCATTCTTTTATTCAGTGTGCAATCTATGGCTTTAGGTGGAAGCTTCCACTTATTGGGGAACCACCAAAAAAATGAAAAGTTTATAAGTTGCCTTAATGCATTATGTTTTTGGAATAAAAAATGTTCACAAATGTCATTCTTATTCTTTAAAATTAGTTTTCATATCTGAAAATAGCTGTTTGCATAATCACCCAGACATGTGACCATTACATGGAGACTTGTTCAAAATTCTGAAGATATTCCATTTGAATTTTGTCACGGTTTTGTCGTTTTTATTGTTTTGTTGTTCTTTTACAACACAGGTAGAATAATCCTTTCTTATTTTTTGGTGTTTGATTTTAGCTCTACAGAAACTATGAACTGCAGGTAAACCGAAAGCAACAGTAAAAGAGGCTGACCTTTGAGTCTGTAACTGCTTTTATGGGGAGTTAATTCTAAACGCAGTGGTTAAGCAGTATTATGTAAGGACATATTCAGATTGACAGTTTCAGTATGATTTCTAAAATTAAATCTGAAAAGCTTTTAGCAAAGGATTTCATGCTATATAAGCCACAGTGATTTGGTTTTCAATGTCACTGAGCCCCCCTTTTTTCGTCAAGACGAACTATTGACTTAACACTCATGAACAGAGTCTCCAAAAGTCAGAAACTGTTAAATCTGCCTCCGAGTTTTCAAATTGCATCAATGTACTTTCCTTCTGCACCACAAGGTGTCTCAGAGTGGCATGGCACCATGCAAAAGTCCTCCTCCAGCCCATTCTGGGCTCAATGCTGTGGAACAAAGTAGTGTGACGCCTGGCCCTCATAACGCTCTTTTTAAACCTCAGCAGACAGAGTCCTTATTGTGCTTCTCTGAGTGCCTCTGAGTGCCTGGTTTGAAAAATTACCAGTCCAACCTTTGTGGACATCCTTAATTACTACTTTATGTGGCCCTCATGCTTTCTCCGCAGTTCCACTTCATTAAGAATTGTTCCGTACGCAGTGAACAATGTGGGTGAACAAAGTTTCTCAGTTTTCTTTTCTACCCTACAGCTACCTTTTGGAGAAAAGGACCCTACAAAGACTATTTTTGAGGTGCTAAGTGGCGGCTGTACCTGTAACTTCATGCTGTCTGAGCTCATTGTACTTGAAGACTTGTTCCATTGGCTTGATGGACTTGTGGTAGATGTTCAGCAGAGACTTTATGGCTCCTGCACACAATAAAGCAAAAGGAAAGCTAAGTTAGAGGCTTTTGCTACTATCACTGTTAAAAACGACAACAAAAAAGTATCTGTGCGTGATTAATGGCCCTCGTTAGTTTATTGAAAAAGAGCCAAGATGATTAAGACTGGCTGAGCCCATCTGACATGAACCAATCTGGCCCAACAGAACACGCAAAGTTCTCATTCTGAGTGCAGAGTTACACGTTTGCACTGATTAATCACCTGCCTTAAGACACGTCTTTTCGCACACACACACACGCACACACACACACACACACACACGCGCGCACACACACACACACACACACACAAACAGACACACACACACAGGCAGGCACACACACACACAGACTTTCAACACTCACACAAGAGGCCAAGGACCTAGACATCATGAAACAATTTTCAGAATAGTTTCAGCAGAAAATCCCCCAAAATTGTTTCAGACTTCCTCTCATTTGCATGAAAACACATCTGGTTTTCTTTTTCACTGACAAAGTAGCCATAAACATTCTGAAGCATTCTGATTTCAGCACTTCAGGGCAAGATCCAGATTTTGAAAAAGTTTTTAATCATATTTTTGTGTCTGTCTTGGATAACTTTGTATGTTTTTAACTTTTCGGGGGGGGGGTTAGTGTTTGAGCAGCCTTGTAAATCTTCACATTGTGTCTTATCAGGAACTTTGGGTTGCTTGTTACTTACCAGAAAACTCTGCCGAGGGCTCAGCGGTTGCCAGTCGCAGCATGTCCTCGATGTGGGAGCGGTCCCTCAGAGTAGAGCCTGAAGCCTCACCCTCTTTGTGCCCTGGTTGGTTAAAAAAAACGTCAACTGTTAAAGTTGAAAACCCACATCGGCCTGTTTCTGCAGGTAATCAGTAACATATATCTGAGACGCGGATCATGTCGTACAAGTGCACCACAATAGAGCTGCCAGGCACGAAAACCTTTGCACTAATGGCCACATGTGCAGGGTTTTCCACCAGGAAAATGGCGTCCAAACTTATGAGTGACCAGGCCATCTGGGCTGGGTACTGGTCCAACTGTTGGACCAAACTGTTGTCCAATCTATCTGTCTATATTTTCCACTGCTATTTCAGTCTGTTTATTTCTGTACTGGAGGTTGTTGCTAATTTCCATTTAGCTACACAGAGTGTCAGATTCTGGGGGTTTGGCATGGCCAAGTCAGAAAGAAAAGTGGAGGGGAAGTTTGGAGTTTTGCTGTCATGGCATAACCAGTCTTTTAGTTATATTCCACAAAAAATCGTATTCCCAAAGTAATGATGTCTAACTGCTGGTCATTTGTGCCAGATCTGTGTAAGCTGCGTATTTTACCTGGGAATGTTACAAGTTTGTGGACTTTCCGTACTCCAGACCGATGCCAATTCACAGTTAGTCAGACATGACTCAGCTGATCTCATTTTGAGCGAGCTGACTATTCCCAGACGGGCATGTTACCAAAACATAAAGGCTTATTTTGGACCCTCCCTCAAAAATAAGCTTGCTGCTATCTGCGTTTGGGTCTTCCCAGACGTTTGACACAGAGACATCAAACTGTTAGTCTTCTCCTCAACAGAAAAACAGGTCAGACATCAGACATTCAATAAAAACTGATGAACGATTTTAAGAACATGAATCGTGGATTCAGCGGGAATTAGCAAGCCGGTGATCAAACAATAATTTGACCATATCTTCTAAAACAGCAGCCAACATCCAGAAACCACATGAAAATGGGTGTGTTTCAGTACGACTGGGTTGGGAGAGATGATCTGTTACAGCATCTGATGACATCTTTCGTCAAAGTTTCCAATCCTCTGCTTCACCTTTAATAGACAAGCTGGACAACTCTCAAAATGGATGTCATCTCTGATGTGTAGACACTTTATTACCTTTGGTTTGAGTCTGAGCAGGCTCATCCTCCACAGTCACTTCCTCCGCTGGAGCTTCTGCAGGCGCCGAGGTCTCCTCCGGGCTTTCCACCACCACTTCGTCCACTGATGCTGCCCCGGTGGGGGCTGTGGAGGCCTCCTCCGCGGGTTCAGCCTCCACTGGAGGAAGGACCTCTGGTTCTGGCTCAGGTTCTGCTATCACTTCTGGTTCTGATACTGGCTCCGGCTCAGGCTCTGCTATCACTTCTGGTTCTGGCTCAGGTTCTGCTATCACTTCTGGTTCTGATACTGGCTCCGGCTCAGGTTCTGCTATCACTTCTGGTTCTGGTACTGGTTCCGGCTCAGGCTCCGCTGTCACTTCTGGTTCTGGTACTGGTTCCGGCTCAGGCTCCGCTGTCACTTCTGGTTCTGGTACTGGTTCAGGTTCAGGCTCTGCTATCACTTCTGGTTCTGGCTCAGGTTCTGCTATCACCTCTGGTTCTGATACTGGCTCCGGTTCAGGTTCTGCTATCACTTCTGGTTCTGGATCAGGTTCTGCTATCACTTCTGGTTCTGGCTCAGGCTCTGATATCACTTCTGGTTCTGGTTCTGATTCTGGTTCTGGTTCTGGCTCAGGCTCTGATATCACTTCTGGTTCTGGTTCTGGTTCTGCTATCACTTCTGTTTCTAACTCTAGATCTAAAACCTCCTCTGAAACACCATGCGACTCAGGGTTTGACTCTTCTGGTTCTGTTACTTCAGCTTCAGGTTCAGGGTCTGTTTCAAGAGGCTCGTCTGGTTCTGAGTCAGTCTCAGCTTCTTCATCCTCCTCCTCAGCAGCCGGGTCAGTTTCCTCACTCATCTGCTCCTCTACTGGCTCGGTTTCCTCTTGCGTGTCCGCATCCTCCGTTTCCTCCACAGCCTCTTCAGAAACCACAGCCTCCTCGCTTGGATTCACTTCTTCTGTTTGGGATACCTCCTCCATATCTTCATCTTCACCTTCATTGAGTTCCTCCTCTTCAGCCCCAGTCTCGGCAGCAGTCTCCTCCTCGGGTGATGAAACACCCTCAAAAACATGGCCTTCTCCAGTTTGATCTTCGGGCTCTGCTTCGGCCTTTTCCTCGGATGTCACCTCATCCTCCTCCTCCGCCGCTTCCTCCTGGTCTTCTTCGGCTGCGACCACCTCGGAGGAGGGGTCTACCTCAGACGGAGGTTCCTCCTCGTCCTCTGACGGAGCGGCCGGCTCCTCTCCGGCGGCGGGCAGGTGCTTGCAGGGCTGGCACACGGCCCGCTCCGGGGCCGGGGTGTCGTTGGAGGAGCTCTGGCTGGCGTGCTCCTCTGTGGCCTCGCACCCGCAGGGGAACAGGTCTCCCTCCGACGGCTGGAGCTGCAGCCGCATCAGGGGCTCCTCATCGTGGACCGAGGAGTCCGCCAGGCGATCTAAGGGCAGGGAAAGAGGGGAGGGGGGTTTGAAAGCACAAGCTTCCTCAGGGTCGCTTTTTGTCAGTCTTGCAATTAGGACGTTGATATTGACCTGTGACATTCATCCTGGAGAAGTCTACCCCCCCCCCATGATAGTAATACGCACTACAAAAAAAGCATAGGCAAGACCAGACGCGTTTTCGACAATTCAGTTCTTTGTTTCTTAAATTTTTTTGTATTTTGACCATGTAGTTGATGTGGTTGCATTTTCTTTTCCTTATTTCTCTGATTTTGTCCTAAAGCTAATATTTGAAAAATTATAACACAGGCTGTTCTCGTGCACGCAACAGGATCTGCTGCTTTCATTTGAGGTGTGATCGTCATCACGAACTTTGCATGACAACGTCCATTCTTTTTTGACGACCTGGTTACCCGGCAGTTCGACATTTAAACGTCTACGGAACTTGAAACAAGCGTGATGAAATAACAGCCAGTTTGACTTGACTCGGACCGGCCACCTTTGCCCGCTACGTCAGCACCACTGTGCAAGAACAGAGCAGATCACATGTTCAACACCTCCCAGATCTCGGTCTCAGATTTCAGCTCCTTGAATGGTGATATAAGGGATGGACTATTTAAGGATGCCAAACACTGGTCAGTTGTTTAGAGAATTCAGAAAATGGTAGATTAGTGGATCATTTGAACAAGAATTTCATTTCGATGCAAATCTAAAACCAAAAAGTCAATCACTGAGTGATACAGTGGTTTCCCTACCATACTATGTAATTAGAAAAGACACTAAATTGTTTTGATACCAAGATTATCTAATAAGTATTTTATATGCAGATGGTGATAAACAATAAGGTAAGATGAAGGTAAACTGATACAGACTCTGTTTTAAGCTTGTCGGAGTTTTCCCTCCTTTTCAGTGTCTCAATATTCATCTTGGCAAGACAACCAAAGACAATTGCACTCCTGTTATTCTGATTTTGCAGATATTGTTGTACCATTTTCAGAGTTCTGTAATGCTTAGCCTCAAACAGTAGCTAAATTATCGGTGTTGACATTCAAACAATTGCATAAATATATACAGGGGACTCCCTCCGAGTTACTCCACATGCATGTGCAACGCTACCCTGCAGCGTACAAAGAGCACAGGGTTGTGACCCGTATTTAATTTTAACTGCTGCCGGAGAGCAGGAACACACGCTTGCACACAGGATAATGTAAGACACGAAATGCATGTCTTCAGATCAAGTTACGAGAAGGATTCAGAGGAATGGGCGACGGCCAGCCGCCTCTGGCAGCTGCCATGGTTCTCAGGTGAGCAGTTTTAGTGTTCTCCCCCGTTTTTTCAGGCATCTGGTAAATCGTCTGGTCACTATTTCACATATCCTCATAACAATGGTGTCAAATGCCACTCATTTAAATGCCTCATGAGAGCATTTGATGGAGCAGAGCCGTCTTTGCTAACCTTTTGGTTGACATTCAGGTCCCCAATTACATCAGTAAAGTAAGTACATTTGTATTTTGAGCCGGGATGAAGGACTTATCACTCATCCAGCTGCCGTAACTGATGCAAGACGGACTCAATGCAGCTCCCTCCCAGTTATCTACGATGACTTTTCCCTTGCTATTTTGAGCCAGTGAATCTTACATGAAACAGCTTTCCTCCCATGACATAATGACTCACTTGTACTCTAAAGTAGTTTAGTCTGTCAGTGTTTGACACACAGTTTCAATATTCACAATATTTTCTTGAATTTGGCAGGAGTCTTTGGAATCACTTTAAATAAGACAATGCAAATTTTTTATTCCACTACAGGGGAAACCATGACATTTTCAGGTTTGAACCCAAATGTCACCACTAACTGAGACTGAAAATACACAATTGTTTTGGGGGTTTGTTTACAGCTTAAAAATGTAGAGGATGAATTTGTCTTCAAAACTAGCATGGCCAAACTTGTGTGAACTGTATGTGTTAGAAATTGAATGAATTAAGGAAATGAAAAGGATTCATGAGTGGTAACCTGACCAGTGTCTGAAGGTGCTCAGATACTGATCAAAACTGAAAGGGTGGGTATGAATGCAGTCCAAAGACATGGTGCCACAGCATTGCCTTCATTGTAACATGAACAGCAGCTGCCAGGTTTCTGTCATGAGCCAATTAACCAGAAGTTAGGAAATGTTGCATGCACAAAGTTGTTACACAGAGTCTGAATCTGGCTAGTTTGCAAAAGCCTACAAAGTCAGCAGTCGTGATTACAGTTTGACATTATAGTTTCAAGTTAAGCCTACGACAGAACCTTTGCAGAGCATAGAGCTTTAAGTTAAAACAATTTCAATCGTGCAAGCTAAATGCAGTTTTCAGGGTTTTCTACTCATGCCAGGTTTTGAGATAGCTATGCAGATAATACGGGGATATCGTTTTCTGCTGTGGGCGCTGCCAGCAGTGGCCAAATTGAATTAAAGCTAACATGGTTAGGAGGATGGAAATGATGTGCTGGTGAAAAGTATGAGCAATGGAGTACATGCGAGACCACAAAATAATGCCTTTGATGTTGTTCCTGCAAACTCTGAAATACTTAAAAGGGTCCAAATGATCTCTAAGATGTGTTTCTACCACAATCGTGACACGCCTGAAGGCATGGCATTTGGTTCTGCCAGCTGATCGGGCCAGGCTCGAAGATTAAAAAATGATCCTGGATGGATTGCCAGGAAACTCTGATGTTTGTCATGTCACCCCTCAGGATGAATTAAAGTAACTGTGGCTATTCCCCAGTGTTTGATTTGTCATAGAAGTCTACAGAAAGAGTTCACTAATAATAGTCTAGTAGAAAGGAAGAAGAAAAATAAGTATGCTTTACTCCACAGAAACTACTGAGAAAACTAAACACAGCCAGGGCCAAAGGCATGCAACACACTCAGGCAGCAAATCTGACTGAGAATACTTTAGTATAAATGCCGGGAACATATCATCAACCCTCCGCCACCGTGCTGGCCAGCTGGTGTGAGGTATCTGTGCAGTTTGGCGTTCCTGCCATGTTGTTTTCAGGAAGAGGTTCCATTCTCCTGCAACCCCCCCCTCCCCCCCCACACAAAGCACTTCCGTAGTCTTACTGACTTTAGGAGAGCTACATAGTCTGAGATGAGCCTCAGGTTTTACACGAGAAGCCGACAAGCCTGTCATAAATGCGTCCTTCATCCGTTATCACCTTTAACTTTGTACTTGTCTTTCAGGGAAATCCTGCTCTACATTTAACTTCCCTGAAGGTATCTATTGTACCGACCTGTTATTTCACATACCAAACAGTTCATGTAAAAAATAGAGCGGTTTTGGTTCCAGTTTTGCTGCGAATGGTATCAGTATAAAGTGGTTTAGAGGAAAGACCAAATTGATCAACTGGACAGAGTCCAATGATAATTATGAGTAGTATTTGGCCACAAAATAGTTCAAAATTAATATCTTATCAAACATTTTGTGTTGTGAGGCCCCAACCTTTAGGTTGATAAAATGTTTTAATCTAATAGAGAATACAAGACGAAGGAATTACTTTTCTTGGTATACTTTAAATACTGTTAGTGTGTTAATTAAACAATACTTATTGTCAGTCATTGTGTACTTATTGTATAATAAGGAAGAAAACAATGTGTGGATGTTTCCACATCTGTGCATCGTCACTATGTGTCTTCTTCTGGTGATTTTGTTAATTGTTTGTCTTGTGTTGCAATCCTGCTTCTTTTTTTTTCTTTTCTTAAAACTGCATTTAACATTCGCGCTCTTTAAGTGGGACATTTTTTCTTTGTGAACATGCTTCATCTCTCGATGTTACTTTTACTTAGTGTCCATTTACTATTTTTTAACATAGCTGAACCTTCCAGGCCCTCTAAAAGTAAAAATATATGTTCTGGTGTCCAATTATTAGCCATGTTGGATGCATCAGCTACGAAAATACCTCAGGAGATATTAACATTGTGCCCCAATCTTTGACAGTTCAGACATGAAACTAACAAGACGGTGGAGACATCACAATATCTAAAACTTCCGTTTTTCTATTGGACTGAATACAGAAGAAAGAATGATGCCTGCTCCATCCTCCATGTATTAACACCCATTAATAGCTGAACATTTCTAGAAATTAAATATACGTTTATTCAGCTCTAGTTTAGTCTTCACCAGTTCCTTAATGGGCGGAAATGGAGGGGAAAATGATCTATGTAATGCTGAGCTTTATGTTTATGAGATAAGTTAAGACACAAAACATTTGCGTACTATCTGCTGTTTAGTCTGTGGTGCGCGTGCACATATTTTTGCTCCCTCCATCCCAGCACCCCTCACCGCTGCTGCTGCCCGGCCGGGGGCTGGGCTCAGAGTTTCAGGGGGACAGAGTGGGACAGGTGCCTGATTGCTGGACGAACAGAAATAGCCGCACAATGAGTCAGAGGGTAAAAAGAAAAGGGGGGTGGGGGGGTAATTCCACTCCTATTGACGCTCTTCACCTCCCTGCGATTGTCATGGAGCCGGGATGGAACCTGCCGGCCTGCCCACCAAACCCCCCGGAGCGGGCATCAACGCGGGCCGAGAAAAAGGCCGTTGTGTGTTTGTGCATGCAGAACAGTTCTGAACGGCCCAAAAACAGGAGCCCTCAGAGACACGGTGAAGCTTTTTATCTGCAGCTGCTCTCATTAGTTTCTGCTCGGCCTCAACTTTAAAAGCACACCGTCAGGTCATTACGTAACTCTGAGTCCAACTGTTGTGCTCTGGTTCCACATGCCCACCACTGAGCTCTCTCGTGCCTGTTTTAGAAGGGACACACACACACACACACACCAACCCCCCCACATGCTGTCCACAGACTAGAATGACAGATTAGAAGTTTTACAGATCAGGCAGAGAAAGGCAGCAAACTCTGCAGCTGAAGGAACAAAGTCGGTCCGTATTTCCAATCCCAAATTTTGCGTTTTTGTCCATCATGGGACGGAATTAGTCTCCTGGTCTGAATACGTGATATTCACGCCTTCCCGAGAGCTTTGAGGAGATGCGTATCAGCGCATGCCGGTGGTGACAGCAGCCGTATCTGATGACGGCTTTGTCTGACGGGCTCCTGACACCTGACTACAGCGGCCCGCGGGGGTCAAACTGAACCGGTGCAAGGACAGGCAAGGGTGGAAAGTGTTGAGCTGAAGTAAAAGAGACCCACGTCCAAAAACTGCCCCAAGCCTGAAACGTCCCCATAAGGGATGAGATGCTGGCCTGCAAGGTAAGATGACTAAAAAAAAGTGCCTCCCGGGCGTTTTTCTTCTTCTTCAACTGGTTTTACAAGATGTAAAAGAAGCCCTGTGACAAACAGCCAGCTATTGTTTTTGGCTGAAGCCGGTCGGGCCACTCTGAGTCCAGTCACTCTCTTTTCAAGACAGAGAGACGGAGGGAGGACAGTTCCCATCATCCACTCATTCAGACACGCGTTCAGCTCTGACCGACCAAAGCAAGCGGAGCTTCAGTTGGAAGATTTTAAAATAAATACGTCCAGCTTTAAGCTTTCTTTCACGGGTGATCTGACCCATTTGCTCAAACTGCCAGAGAGACCAGCAAACCTGTCAGAAAACACACACACACACACACACACATGCAGCCATTTCAGCTGGATTCCCGTTTCACACGGCCCACCTGCCTGGATAAATCCCTCCCCCAGTGCACCTGAAAAACATCATTTTCCACCCAAACCCTCCTCCATACCTGCAGCTGACAGAACCAAGAGGGACAGCAAGCAGCACGCCGACGCCAGAGACTTCATTTCGGCTGCCAGGGGCCTTCCGACGGTCCCCCCCCAGCTATATATAATGCTGCGGCTGAAGGTCAGAGGGCATGCCAGAGGAGGTGGGGCCGGCAGCTCCAACCACGTCGGCCATTGTGTGTCCAGACAGCTGCAGATAGAAGGATTCTGGACACGCGCTGGGCTTTTAGAAACTTTCTCCTCAACTTTTTATACTCTAAATATTGCCCAGTAACGTGTGTTCGTGTTTTCATTGCATTGTATTTTGTGAAGTACAAATTTGTGAAATGTATTTTGTGAAATAGTCCTCATCAAAAATAATGCTTGCACATACCATCATGGAGGTCTGAGGGCCTTTATGGTTGAAGGATAGAACGTTGTTCATTTTCTACATACAGGGTTTGACCGAATTGTCATTTTGCAAAGGAAAAAAGAGCTTGATTTCTTTCATGCAACGTCAGAGGACTTATTGATTAACTGATGGATAAAATCAGCTCTCATGTGGGAAATAAGTTTACCGTCTTTCTGTAATAAACTTCATGAAATTCACTGAAACTTTGATTTGTTTGCTTGCGGCTCTTCTGCAAACAGGACATGAAAAAAAGTTGTGTGGTTGAGACTTTAGTTTTGATATATTACTGACCATGTACTTTTGGTAATTCATGTTTACTTTAAAACATTTTTTTACTTAAAGATAAATGAATGGAATCCAGCCTGAAAGACAGCTGCTCATTGGTTTAATGTTATCCATTTGTATGTATGGATTGAATTATATGGATTCTCCAAATAATCTAATCGCACAGTAATTAAGCTATTATTAAATTTCCACTCATTTTCTTTGCAGATAAAAATGTTCAGTGTTTCACAATGAATTCCTCACAGAGTTTACGTCTGAAAAACTCTGATGCAATATCTTATCTCCACTTTGCGTCACTCGACCCATTTTGTTAGAAGATTTTCCACAATGCGTGTGTGCCCCTTATCCTCCCCCTCCATCTCTGCATGTCATTATGATTAAAAAAATAATCAGGATGGTTAACTGAGGGGAGCAGAGCTGCTGCCAAATAAACAGTAACTCAGAGTCTCCGCCTAGTGGACATGAAGAGTTACGACAACCAAACGCTGAAGAGGGTAATAAAAAAAGTACAAATTTTATTTTTTTTTCATCTTTACAAAGGCCTGTTTACCCAAGTTGTTTTTTTATAAACAAAATATAACAGCTTCTCATCGACCTGGACTGATGGGAAAAAAAAACTAAACTGAGTCACACAAAATATAAAAAAGCTTGTCACTGTTGTCACTGAAAAAAATAATATATATATATGGAAAGCAGGGCAATTAACACAAATAAGAGACGAACGACCAGAATTTTGAGGACAGATATTAAACCGCGTCACAGCGAAGAGCTTACAAAAAAAAGGATGTGGGGGGGCAAAAAAAGAAAAAGGCCGCAAAAAGAGATGAAAATCTTCCTCGTAAATGATTTAGGCAGTACAGAACAACAAGTGCTTCATATGTAAAAAATTCCACCGAAGAGGCAGCGGGGCTGCCAGCACGACGCCGGACATTCAGGGTCCAGAGCCGCCCTGACCACTGAGCCCGCCGGACCTGAGGGTCAGGCCGGAGCTCCGCATTGGTCAGCGCGACCACAACCCTTTAGCCAAGCTTCACAAACAGTATAGAAAACCCCCCCTCCCCCCACACACGTTTGGCTGAAAAAACAGACAGGAAACTAGCCTAACCAACTGATAATCGAGTGAATAGTGTCCGCACATCCCACAAAAGATACATCACTGGACACATCTGGTCACGTGACCAACCCTCCC